CTAGTGCACAATCGAGTCGCGGCACAGACAATAAACAAAGGCGGAATATGAAAAAGCCATAATTGCATTTATTATCCTGATAAAAAGCGCGGTAACGCACACATATACATATAAATAAATAGATATATATATTACTATGTATGTTTCTCTAGCTGGCGCAAATATTCCAGCGTGGCCACAAGAGGAAAACAACAACCAGCACTAGCATAAACATTTTCACTTGCATTGTACACATGCATACATGTATATGTACATACATATATACGACCATTAAAATGGGGTAGTACGGCATAGCACTTAAATACCGTTAGTGGAGGAGGCATGTCGGTAGGGCGATACTGTTGCATATACGAAATTTTCAGTCATGCTATTATTTTATGTACTATATGGATGCAAAAATATATATGTGCTTGTATACATGTATATTAGGTTGGTCCATTGTTGGGTATTTTTTCAAAGCTTTTGCTTTTTCAGATATATGAATATACACAGGTCTGTATATATGATACATATTCACGCATATAAAAATATTGTATGATTATGACTTATCAGAAATTTACTAGTTTTCATCTAGACTTCAATAACACTAGTCCGAAGTGAAACAAATTGGTACCAATTACATAAATATTATTTATGTCTCATTTACATTTAATTTTAAGGCTTAAATTTTTTTCATATCTCAAATATTTCCAGTTTTATATTATTAAGGATAATACTTTATATTTTATTTAAATTGAGCTATTATCATTAGTTTATTTCCTGAAAAATATATTAACTTTGTCAGAAAATCATCAGCTAACTATTTTATTTATTCAAACTACAATAATATGATATTTTATTTCAGTTGGCTGACTAGTTAAATTTTATTACTAATTTTATTTTTGTTTGCCAAACTATTTTCGGAGTAGTTTTCAACTGGTTCAATCGACTGCAGGGTTTTATTCTACATATACATAATATAGGTTTATAAATTTGTATGTATGGATATGTATTTCTGTAAGTATTTGTAGCTTTTATTCACTCGTTTTCATTTTGGTTGGCTGTAATGTAGTCTTTACGTTATTTCAAACTTTTGTTCTTCTTAATATACAGATTTTTTTTTTGCATTGTATTGTAGTATTCGTTTGTGAATCAAGTCCGCAAGCACATGAAAGAATTTGCATACAAACATATATGGATTATTATAAACGCAACTAGTATAAGGTTGCTTATTAAAAATTGAGTTAGCTTTTTAATTAAATTTTTCAGTTTTCACTAAATAAAACTCTACAATGTTATTAAACTTTTTTGAAAAATTTCCAAAAAAAAAATAGGGGAAATGTTGGCAAATTCATGGGTTTTTTACTGATATTTTTTTAACATGATTGAAATTATGAACTTAAGTTATTATTCTTTTAATTTTTTTCTATTTCAATTAATTTTTTTTTTTTTTCAATTTTATCATATTTTCATAATAATTGTCTCTTTTTTTACGACGAACCCAGTGTTACCCACCTCCCGCCCAATCGACCGAGGAGCGCGCTTGAAGGATAAAATCTGAAACGCAGTGTTAGTCCGGACTGCGCTGAATCCGAGACCGATGGGTGAAGGTCGCAGTTACACTTGCCACTTAATTTTAATCTTAATTTTCATTATAATTATTTATTTTAATATTAATTTTAGTTTAAATTTTATTCTATTTTTAATTTTATTTTCAATTGTAATTTCAATAATAATTTTAGTTTTAATTTTAACTCTTATTTCAATTTTATATATTTTATTTATGTCTTTATTTCTGTTTTTAAGTTTTTTGTGTGTTAACTGTAATTTTATTTTAACTCTTAATTTTATTTTTTTCTTATTTAATTTCAACTTAGTTCTCGTTTTAATTTTAATTTTAATTTTAATTTTAATTTTAATTTTAATTTTAATTTTAATTTTAATTTTAATTTTAATTTTAATTTTAATTTTAATTTTAATTTTAACACCTGTTGCTGTTCATGTGACGCAAGTATTCTGAAAACAAGCTTAACGGTAAGGAAGACTGTGATTCCAAAGAATTTTTTACAGTCTTTAGAAATGTTTTTCCTGAATGCTTTATGTGAAAAATTTTGAGTTGTGGCATTTTTTTGTTTAGTGTGCGATTTGTACATATCTACATACATACATACATATGTAATCTTTTGTCTTGCATTTTGTTGCTTTCAATTTATTGCATAAAAACGTTGTAGTTGCAGGCGGTTGAAGGACTGTGGATGGAGCTTGTTCTGATTTTTATGTAGTACACACTTTATTTACGTTATTTTTTTTAGCTTACACTTGCTAATGTACTCTTTCACTTTACTGTGCTACATATTATTCAACATACATATGTATGTACTCGTAAGTATATAATATGTATATAGTTCTGCTACTGTATACATTTAATAATAATTGTTGATGCACAACCAGCTGGTTGGTGAATGCATAGAAAGCCATGGAAAATTTAGTGGCATCACACAAAATAACAACAGAAACAATAACATTCGAGTACAATCTGTCCAAATATACTAAAGGAAATACATACTCATACATATGTACATACGTATGTGTGTGCAATTAACACGCTGATTGAAGGCAACAGAAAAATATTGAATTAAACAACTCGGTTGAAGTTAATTTTATCACTTTTATGTTTATAACGGTAACGCAACAACAGTTAAATTGTCTGGTACATTTTTCTGATTTTTAAGAGAAATTTTCTTCGTGGCCATAAACAATGTAAATACACTGAAATGAAATAAATGTTCGATGGTGGTTGAGTGAGATTTCATATCTTCATGGTTTTTGTTTTGGTAAAACCATCTAGGAATGATGTGGCTTATACCGTCTGCTAGCGAGTATTTTTTTTATTATTATTATCTGTTTTCTACTTTAAAAAGGGATCGGGTGATATCTAAAGGTTGGTGTCCCTAGAGATTTCTTCGCGCTCCTACTTAGAGCGGGGCATTCGAAAAGGCAGTGTCATAATATGACAGTCGTTTTATGATGCACCCAAGCTCTCAGCGTTAGAAGACCCAAACTTGTTGACATTTTCATTTTTTTTTTAAACGTGGTGAGCATAAGTGACCTTCTCGCCATGCCGTGCTGATTGATCATCTTTGAATAGTGAGCTTTAAAGTGGAGTGTGGCATGCCTAAAATCTTCCGTGGTGACGCAAATGGAATGGAAGGGCCGTTCCTTGAAAGCTCGTTCGCCATCTTAATACCCGGCATGTCACGGCATCCAGACAGCGATACTAGGTTTGAAGAGGACTGTTTAGCCATCCCGTTAAGTGATTTGCGGCGTTTCTCAGTTGCTTCCCATTTTTAAGTTACAAATTACAGGGCTCTTAAGGCGGCTTGGATATTCAAAAGGAAATGGATGCGATTTCCAGTGAGTACCATTGAGATTGGACAAGCTAATCTTTTTCTACGAGTTACATCTGAAAAACCATTACAGTGGTCTGGTTATACCAAGCTCTCTTGAGTAGACTCTATTACCAACCCTATTATCCAGTTTTTCTGTTGTAACTGTTTGACACATATATACTACTATATACCATTGGTTGCTATACGGGTTAACTACCTTCAGATCTGTCGTGTAATCAGTGAAGTTACTGCAGTAGTCCATCTTTTCGGGAAGGCGAAATCTTTTTGGGATAAAACAGTTGATACCACTCTAAGGAGTGAAGTAGACGGATCAGTTCAGAAATATATATATAAAGAAGTGACCCTTGTGGCATTTGTTGATGTATAGGATGCTTTGGACCCATTTGTGATCCATCAAAATCTACTTACCTTTGTTGTTGAGTCACACACTGGGCTGTAGAAGGGCTTTATGCGAAGCAGAAGGTATTAAAGTAATTCAAAAAAACACATGTGACATTCCACAGCAAGGCATTCGGTCTCCACTATTGTGGGACAAATTGATTCAATTGAATCAAATCGGTTATAGGGTGATCACTGGAAATCGCAATTGATTGGGCCGAGAGGCAAACACGAACAGTAACCCTGAACAAATTTAAGATCTGTTTATCTTTCACGTGGCCTCAAATGGAAGTAGTCGCAAGGTGTTAAATCACAAGAACCCGGTGGTCGACAGCGATCACGGTCCGGAAATTTTTCATTTAAGAGATAGACGGTTTCCTTGCGAGTGTGATATGTTGCGCCGTGTTGCTGAAAGTAAACATTTTGTATTTCTATATTGCGATCCGACAAGGTGGGTCACATTGTCTAAATAATGTTTTAGTTTTAAAAACCCGGCCCATTTTTATAGGGGATTTTAATGATTTCAATGCATTTTTGCATTCTCATTATTGGCGTAATTTTTACTAGACAAATGTCAAAAAATTACAGCAACAAAAGTGACAACTCTTCAAAATTAGGAATGATCAATGGAAAAGGTGTTGTGTTTCATCACAAAAATATAAAAAGCAAAAATTTATTTGGTGCTTGATCGGCAAATTTCGATGTACCCCCTCCTGTGTTATGGTTTTTCAACGAAACTCTCTTGATGGCAAATAATTTTCAATAAAGAAAAAATATGTTAACAAAAATACAAAAAAAAAACCACAAAGACTTTTTATATAACCATATATATGTTTATGCACATATATGTATATACAATGGAATAACTGCAAATTCAGTGAAATCACAAAAAAATAAAATCATTAATAAATAAAAATACAATAAAATAATAAAATATGTACACACGCTCGAAAACTATTTAGCGAAAGTTTGTATGCCACCTGCAATATGAACGTACGCTTTTTTCGACACATATTTACTATACATATACTCGTATGTATGTATGTGTTAAGGTAAACAATTTGGCGGAAAATATTATTCATCATACAATGAAGATATGAATACATACGTTTTTAGTAAAAAAAAAGGTGCAAAAAATATTTAATTTCATTTTCTGACTGCACAGCACGCCCATACAAACATACGTACATATGTACGTATATAAAATTTGTAAATATTTGTTTATTTACTTACCTTAAAAACAGCCGAAGCGAAGAAAAACGGCAGCAAAATGAAGACTACGCCGGAAAGCACAATTTGTATATTCAATTCAGCTACCGGCTCAATTTTCCACGATATCAACGAACAGCCTGATGGGCAACAGGAGGTGGTAGCGGTGGTGGTGGTGAATGAACGGTTTTGTGAAGTACAGCAGGCGTTGCACGGTGATTTTACACACACAAGTGTTGGTAGTTTAAAATGTTGCAGATGGTATGTACGGGAAATAAAAAAAAATATTATTTATTAAAATGCAATTATTGCGATTCGCAATCAAAATTATTCAATTATTCGAGTGACATTTGCGAGGCTTAAGCGGGAACCGAGAACTTGACTACAGTTAGATATCACAAAAGAACCAGAAATCAACTAATAAAGGCCAAGCCCATTTTCCTACGGTAGCGAAATTTTCTCTCTGTAGAGTGAGAGTCGTAGGTCGCGTAAGCTTTTCTGCTGCAACAAGTTACCAGCGAAGCAGCATGCTTTTTTAAAGAAAAAATTCGGAAAAATCAAACTGATTGGGGAATATTTAGTTTCATTCTTGGAGATTATCTCTCTCAAATGTTGGCCGCGGCTGACGTCTCAGATAGTACATCAGTTGAGAGTCCATCCTGTACATCCAGTTCGAGCATTCCGATTGGTAACAGGCTGTAAGGTCTGAATCGAAGCGCGATTGTCCACATAGTTTTTAGACTTGGTGGCCAACCGACTGGCGCAAAACGTGAAATTATCTGTTCACCGAAGTGTTCTTTCAATAAATCCATTGATTGATGCAATGTGATATATAAGGTATTAAGGTAAAATTTTTGAAGAGATATAGACCGATGATTCCTCCATCCCACAAACCATACCAAACCGTTGGTTTTTTTCTGAAAGAAAAGACAGCTCTTGAATCTCCTCAAGTTGCTCTTCGTCTTAAATGCGTAAATGTTGCTTGTTTACAAACCGATTGAGCCAATAAACAAAAACGTCGAATCTTTTCAAGAGTCCATAGGTCGACTCTACACAACACTGAACAATAATAACATGACGGCTTGACAAGATCACGCATGATCTGTCAAAAAAAATGCTTCCACAAAACCAAATCGCACTTGTGTGGCGGTCAGTGACATCGACGTTTCGCAAAAGTCCGATTGTATCTTTGGGTTTTTGTCATGTCGTCCATGTCATTCGTCTTCCTCGTTTTCAATGAAATCGAACTATAATAATAATGATACCGCATGCCCCATCAAACTGTCAAACCTATGGACTTTTCCATGGTTACGTGTGGTTTTCCTGAGCCCTGAGTGTGGCAGTTCGTCTACTCGTCGATGTGAAAATGAACTTCATCGGAAAATGATAATCAGAGCATTCGGCTAGTCAAGAGGTTTCAGTTCGTAGACTAATTGAATTTAATTAGTGAACGATGCCCAGTTGATTTTGATGGCTGTTGGAGTACACTTCGAGCAATAGCAGCTTTTGAAAGCATTGATCGAGTACGTAGGAGAGTTGTTTTTTAACGACGTGCTCAACGTTATTAGCCTGAAGAATAATGGAAAAAATCCAAAAGAACGGTTACTAAAAACCAGTGGCATTGTCCAGAATGAGAGTCAGAGCGCCATAACACTTGCTCAGCTACTTTAAATTATATAAAAAAGGAAGAGAAATAGCAAAAAGATAGGTTTTGTCATAAAAAAAGAGCCAGAGAAATTATGACGGTAATGTTGGGGGTAACTCTCATTAAAATCGTTGCAAAAACAACTAAAAAGGTCACGTATTTCAAAATTTCTTCTGCATGAATACAGCGAAAGGAGCCCAAGTGCTTAAATAACCTTAAAGAGATGACAAATCTAAACTTCTTCAGTAGGATATGAGACCTCTTATCAATTTAGCAAAAAATAAAACTCCAAGCATCAGTCTACGACTGTAAAGTGTTGGCAGTTAATGAGCCGAAACGAATTTTTTAAGGAGGATGATTCCTAACGCGAATAGTAGGAAATGCTCTTATACAGATTCTAGCTATTCACTGAACGGATGTTATCCAATTGAGCCTTGGACCTAATAAGTAAAGTAAAGAGTAATATGGTAATATATGGCTAATTTAAGGAGTTCCATTGATCCAACGTTTAATGAAAACTTAGATGTCTTTTCCTTTATTATCGCAAGAATTCATTTGATTTCTAAAATCTGTTTTCGAAACCATTGTGACACCTAAAACAACGAAATCTGTAACTTGTTTACAATGAGCCGAGTTATTTCCCCCGAAGTTCGAAAGGGAAATGTATTTTAAATATTTCCAAATTCAAATATTTGACATACAAGAAATGTCATTGAAAATGTCAAAGATCAAAAGCCAATGGTAGATTACCTCTTAATATTTATGGGTACGGGCAAAATAAAGGGTTTCAATGCGAAATCTTATTATATCTATATTTAATATTCCACAATAAGTTTCGCTCCATAAAGCAGGAGGCGAACGATGGGTGGCTCGTAGAGCTCCATCCTTGTTCATCGATTGTTTTTCAATTGCCCCTTCAATAAAAAATCTAAAGCAGCACTTCCGTTGGATATTCAGGCTAACGTTGTTATTATTTCTAACGTTTGATATCCGACGGTTTGTAGAGGTCATGCCCGATCCAGACAGAGGTGTGGTGCCGCTTTACAATATTTTACACTGCAGTATAAGTTTTTTTTTTTTTAAGAGGAACTTTTTTTCGTGTCAGAAATACACTGGGAGGGGTTGACATTCGCTTATTTATAAATAATTATACATAAGTATGAAAACACTCGTATGTATGTATGTTTGTATGTATATTTACTCACCGAGGAACCGATAGGCGCCATGCACAGCTAAATAGCCTTGGAATAGCGTCAGCAAAACCCCATACCAAATGGACCACAACGAATTCAAATGCAAGTAATTGTTGTGATCCAGATGTGCGCCCGGATGCATCAACATGTTGTTGTAATTGTTCGCATGTTTACGCTTGGAATTCATGTATTTCTGTGGAAACTGCTGTTGCGGCTGGATTGGTTGTGGCGGTGGAGGTGGTGGCAGCGGTACAGTTTGCTGCTGCTGGTGGTGATTGTGGTGTTGTTGGTGGTTCGGGTGGTGTTGATGATTGTGCTGCTGTTGATGGCTGTGATGGTGATGATTGCTGCTCGCATTCGTTATTATGGAATTCGAGATGCTCGAATTAAGGCTAGGCGTGGGGCACGTCTTACCCATCGAAATGGTGGATGTTGTTATTGGTGTTTGTGTGGGCCACTTTTATTTATGACAAAACGGTTTATTAATATTATATGCCATATAAATATTACTCTTGTTGTTTTTGTACGCGTGTTCTACAACACTCATGGACAACTCTTGCTTCAGCGTTTGTGAAATACACACGAATGCAATAACAAATTCTGCTGAATCAGGCGCCCAGTGGGTGGAAGGCGTGATATTGTCCTTTTGGACTGAATTTGTGTTTATGCTTCTTCACTGGTTGTTGTTGTTGTATTTATAAACAACATTCAATAAGGATTTTCAATTAAAATGTTTTTCTGCTGCTCCTTTATGCTTGTTTGTTTGTTGTTGTTGTTCACCGCAACTGCTTTTGACATCTTGGCATTGTTGTTAGAAATAAAGTAATTGTAAATTGCATTTTGTTTTATTATTATTATTTCCCCTTTTTCGTTTACCTTCGTATTTCTAATGTGAAGGCTCTGTAGCGTTTTTTTTTTTGTTGCTACGAAATTTAATTTAATTTATTTTATTATTAATAATGCCTTGGAGCTCCAGCCGTATGCCAACAAGCTTACTGCTATCTGTAATTAAAAAAAGTCATTCTTATTAGATGTTAAAGAATATGAAGATAATATAAAATAGTAAATCCAAAGATAATGTGAAGACAGGGCTGGTGGAAGCTGACAAAGTTGTACGTTAAGGACCATAAAGCTTTCGGCAAGCTCTTCCCTAGGAGACTGCCAAAGACGACTCATCGGATGGAAGACATCGGCCCTCCCTTCTACTTTAGGGACCATAAGCCTTTCGGAAAATCTTTCCCTAGGAGACTGCCAAAGTCGACTCATGGGATGGAAGTATTCGTTCTCGCCTGTTTACTTTAATGTTGAACGTTAAAAATAATAATTTTTCCACAAAATCCTCCTCATGAAGACTGCCAAAGTCGTCTCATCGGACGGAAGTCATCGTCTCTCTCTTCTAAGATTGCACGTTAAGGACCATAAAACTTTCGGAGCACCCTTCCCTAGAAGACTGCCAAAGTTGACTCACCGGATTTAAGTCATCGGTCCTCCCATCTGTACCATAAAGTTATACTGAAATGAATGCAAATTGTAGACCTAGTAAGTTTGTTTTCCATTGCATTCTTATTTCAGGGTAATTTCTGTCAGAAAGAGTAGTTCTGATTTTGATTTGTGCTGATCGAGATATTTCACCTTGTCCTCGTTCTCTACATGACTCGGTTACGCTTCGCTTGCGCAACTAGTTATTGAACATTGTTAGAGTCATAATTATAAAAAATTGTACCTTCCCTGTGTAGCTCGTCTTATTTTCACCAGCGTTAATTTAAAGAAGTTACACGATAAGGACTCACCATGGCCGAAACATCGTTTAGTAGCCAACGGCTCACAGAAGTCCTTCCCAACTCTGCCCGAAACACTCTTTTCTGCTTTTATGACTCACTTCCCTCTTCAAACCTCTGTATGTCTCAAGGTCATGCTGAGACAATCCCTATAGTATTAGCTTTTCCATTGAGCTCGTCGAAAACCATAAGTTTTTGGTGGCGATTATACACAGGGAGCCCCAGTGTCTGTACCACAGTTCTCTCATACTGAGATTTTGGTGAGTGCTCTTAGCGAGGAAGGCGAGCATAAACTGTTTGGCTGTCTATTGTAATTGCAGCTTCTTGCTATCCAAACTTCCTTCCTTCCCAGAAACGGATGCGTATTTTGGCTGCGACCAGATAGTAGTTCGAGTTGATGTTACGGCGGTGTGTACGCAGATCTAAAACACTGGATGGATGAATACTCTGGACGCTCGAGCACATCAACAACCGAAGCATTGGGGAAAAAGTGGAAGAAATGGTTTTGAAGGATTGCCGAATCACAATTAGAGAAGTCGCTTATGATGTCGGCATATCAATTGCATCATGCCATGACATAATTTTCAATGTTTTGACAGAATGTTTTTCTCCAAATTTTTGACTTTCGAACAAAAACCTTTGCGGGTGCTCAGATATGGGCTTTGAAGCTGCATTCTTAAGCATAATGAAAGTGCAGCACCCTCGGGCGAGAATACAAATATTGATGATTTCTCTGATTTGGAGTTCTTCGCCCCATTTTTACACGGATTTGCATATTCCGATTTTAGTAAATTATACTCATCCAGCTACTTCCCTTTTTTATGCCTTCGAGTTTTTTATTCTATTTTCCTTTTAAAACGAGCTTCTGTTATGAGGTAGAAAACATCATTATTTTCCTAATTTTTTTTATTAAAAAATATTTTCATTCGAATTTAATTTTCCAACGATTTTCTAAAGCTTCCACAAACTTGTACATACCTACACAGCGCAATTAATCATTGCTCCAACTGTTAATCATTGTGTTCATATATGTAAATAGTAGTATGTATGGGCATTTACCTGTATTTTAAATAAATAAAATATAAACAAAAATTCAGTCAAACTTTCCAGTACTGCTTGTGGTTCTTGGTATTTACATACCGGCATATAAAATATGTAAGTACATAATAAATAAAAATTTGAACATACATTGTATGCCTAAGCGGATGTCCGTTGGTATTCATTTACAAGGGGAATAACAAAAGTTCCGTCAGTTGGTGACTTGCAATTTGTTTTTGTTAAATTTAAAAACGCCAAATCCTAGTTGCAAAGGATTATTTATCGGTATTATTATTTTTTACGTTCGACTAAAATGGAGACGAGAAAAGGCAAGATAGCTGAGGATAAGTCAAACGAAATTCAACCGTCAGTGCAAAAACAGAAATTCGCCATGTCTTGCTCTGCGGCTTTTAGCATAATTTAACAGCCAATACAAATATTCGGTTAATTTCCAAATTGCATTCCATGTGCATTGTACTGTTTTAAAAGACTTTTTCTAAGTGGCTCCGCAGTTGCCAGACCGGAAATTTTTCCGTTGAGAACGATCCCAGAGAAGGTCGATCAAAATCTTCCACTGATGACGTCACTGTAGCTCTGGTGAAGTTGAAAAATGACTAACACCCATTATTTAACACAATAAATGATTGCTAATGAATTGGGCTTGAATGTAAAGGCAGCATCGCGAATATCAAGTAATCATCTGGGATACACGAAGAAATCGGCTCGATGGATACCACGAATTCTGAATGAGGCCCTAAAAAGGCTCGAGTGCATTTTCGAAAATGTTCAGTGTAGCAACTTCAGTAAGGTCGAGTCTTGGTTTTATAAGTGCGATCTAGACCCATGAAACCACTCCATGGTATGGAGCCCAACAGCAGTAAACCTACCCGTAACAAAAATCACAGCAGAAGTAATGATGCCACCTTACTCAACCCAATTTAAGATTGTAGGCGATTTTCCACTGGGAGAGGGTCAGACGGTAACTGCGAAATGGTACACCGAAGAGTGTTTAACAAAAGTTTTTAAAAACTTGTTGGAAAACAGAAAGAGAGAGGATTAGCGCCGCTACTTTTTACATCAGGACAACGCGTCATCCCACACTGCTAAAATAACGAGTAATTTCACTGCGATCTCTGGGATAGAGGAAATACGTCCAACGCAATCTTGTGATTTTTGGTTATTTCTAAATGTTAAGAAAATTTGAAAAGGAAAGTTCTGTAATAGCAACTAAGAGATGATTAATGCGGTTAATGCTGAGCTTGATAAGCTTAAAAAGCAAGATTTTGAAGGCTGTTTTCAGAAGTGGATCTATAGGCTTAAAAAATGCATTGATGGCGATTATGTAGAGAAGAGAAGAAAGAACAAATCTAATGAACAAATACAAAAAGATGTTTTTTCTGGTCAACTTACCGAACTTTTGTTAATCCCCACGTAGATATTATAATAATGTTAATTTCATTCATGCATGGCATTTCGTTAATAATCAAAAATGTAATGAATTGAATTAAAATAGAGCAGCAGCAAACCATACAAAATTACCAATTTGGAACGAAACCAAAATAATTTGTTAGCAAGTCAATATTAAATATTTACTCATTTTAATTTCGTTATCAACTCGATTTTTAATATAATAATTTATTTGAAATTTTTTATTTTTACTTTTATGGTGAAAACACATGTAATTAAATCATTTTAGCAGAAAAAAAAAATATTAATATTAAAGTTCACTACTATGCACATTAATTAAAAACTTGCGCTAATAACAAAAGTTAAATTTTAAATCAATTTTGGCGGTATTTTTTTGCTTAGTTGCGCTGTATAAGTAAAACAGTAATTTGTTAACCAGTACTGTGATACTAGAAAATGTAATAATTTGCTTTAAAATTAATTTGAAATTATAGTACTGTTTAAGTAACAGGTAATCCATTTTACGGTTTCGAAAATGGTTTCGAAAATAAACATAAATAAAAAGCATTTTCAATTGTTTTTTCTGAAATTAAATTTTTATTACAAAGTTTAAGCTTTGAAACGACATTTTCTTCTTCTTCGTTATTGGCGTTGGCGCCGCTTACGCGATTTTAGCCTTTCGTTACCTTTCGCCAGTTGGAAATACCATGTAAAGCCACGTCACTCTCCACCTGATCATTCCAACGGAGTGGAGGTCTTTCTCTTCCCTGCTTTCACCAACTGGGACTGCATCTGGGAATGCTTTGGGAATTTTCGCACACTTCGAACCGTTTAAGGTAATTTTCGTCCATTTTTTTGGCGCTTATCAGCCAAAACTTGAGCAATGTTGGTTTCCAAGTGCCCAAGAGCTCTTTCGCGTAGTCTCACAGGAAAGGGTCCAATGGTGACAAATAGCTTGATCTCGGGATATTTCTCCCGCAATAAAGCCAACTACTCTAGTGTTGTGTAGCATGTGACACCAACTTGAGGCAACCACATATCGTCCCAGTCAAGTTCTTTGATTGCAGATAAAAAAAAAATCAACGCTGAGATGTCGCTATTAATAAGTGAAGGCAGTAAGATTTTTTGGCTTCACTGGACTCTCTTCAGTTATTTAAAGATTCTAGAACCCCAAATGACATATCTTCGAGTGAGAAAAGTACCTTAACGCTGATGAAAATTTTGTTCGGTAAATCGCCGTCCACTCCTTGTTGCTCAAGCACCCAATCTAGCTATGTATGGCGTTGTCAATGTGCACCTGGATTCAGTTATTGTGTAAGTCCAATGGCTATAGTTGTTAGTCCAAGTGCCAATTTAGCCTTACCTTTAGGGATTTTAGAGAAATATACACATTCGGGGCTTTGTCTACACTCTCACTTACAATAGCGACATTTCAACTGGAACGAGCAAAACGATAATGCACTGGCCTTACGGTAACGCTAGCCGATTCAGTCTCTCTCGTGGGAAACGTGACCCCGTTTAATTCACGGAAAGACCACCAAAAAAATTCAAAGTGGAAAAATTACCGGGGAAGTTTAAGGCTAAGGGAATATTTTTAATTTGTTACTTGCCAAAGGGAACTCCAATGAAAGGCTAATTTATTGAGTCTGGCGCGTGATGCAGTCATACAGAATAGACGTGGCAACTCTATCAAATTAAAATCAGCAAAAGTTTAATGGAAAATAAATATTTGTCAAAAAGATAATACAAAAATATAGAAAACGATGCAAAACCTATTTA